TAGGTGAAGGCAGCCACAACTCCACAGCTTTGCACTCTGGGCCTGTTATTAGAGGGGCAGCCCTGATGATATCCAAAATGCCTTTGGGATCATTTTTCCATTGCCTTGGAAAATAAATCTTGGCTTCTGTTTATAGATGGCTGATTATTCTTTATGTTGATAAATAGCATCTGGCTTACATTGCAATGGCCAATCCATCCTAATTACCTCATCAAACAGTCACTTGGCCACACACCCTTGTTCCTCCTGAACAGGCTTTCTCATTTTTTTTCTGTATGGAGACACTGAGTTTTCCAAATTTTTGAGTTCTACTTCTTTTCTATTCAACAATTCTGTCTAAATCATCTCCTTGCATTTTACCATAAGCAGTCCAAAGGAACCAGAATGTCCCTTCAACACTTTGCTTAGAAATAGCCCCAGCTAAGTATCCAATTTAATTTCTCACAGGTTCTACTTTCTTTTCTTTTTTTTTTTTCCTTTTTTGTCTTTTTTCGTGACCGGCAACGGATCGCAACCCTCAGTGTTGCCCCCGTACCGGACCGGGGACCGGCAATGGGATTGCAACCCTCGGTGTTGCCCCCGCACCTCGCTCAGCCAGTGAGCGGGAACCGGTCTGTATGTGGGATCCGAACCCTCGGGCGGGAGCGCCGCCGCGCTTCCCAAGCGGCGCACTTATCCAGTGTGCCACTGGGCCGGCCCCAAGTGTGGTATTTTCTTATAACCCTGGTTCTGTAAGGTCGTTATTAATGTCCCCACTCTTGTTCTTGATTTTAGTACTTTGATGATCCTTCCATTTTCCTTGAACAGTCTAGCTAAAGGTTTGCCAAATTGCTTTATCTTTTCAACTCTTGGGTTTGTTGATTTTCTCTCCTGTACTTTCTATTTCATTTATCTCCACTGTAATCTTTACTAGTTCCTTCTCCCTGCTCGCTTTGTGTTTAGATGATCTAATATTTTGTGTATAATTGTTCATCATATTCTTATAATCCTTAGTATTTCCATAAAATCAGTAGTAATGCCTCCATTTTCATTTTTGATTTTAGTAATTTTGAGACCTTGCTCTTTTTTTTTCCTTGATCTACCTGAAGATTTGTCTTTTTTGTTCATCTTTTCAAAGGAGCAACTTTTGGAGTTATTAATTTTGCCATCTTCCCCCTATTCCCTATTTGATTAATCTCTGCTATCTTTAGTACTTCTTTCTTACTGCTTGTCTTAGGCTTAGTTTGTTCCTCTTTTTTCTAGTTTCTTAAGGTGGGAAGTTAGGGTATTGATTTCAGCTCTCTCATCCTTTGGTGTGATATATTCTTTGACTGGATATTCGGAAGTGCATTGTTTCGTTTCCACATATTTGTGAATTTTCCAAATTTCATTGCTATTTTTATTTCTAGTTTTATTACACTGTCACTGGAGAATATCATTTGTATGATTCCAACTTTCTTAGAGACTTATTTTGTGGTTTAACATGTTATATCCTGAAGAATGCTACACAGGCACTAAAGAATGTGTATTTTGCTGTTGTTGGGTACAGTGTTCCACAGATGTCTACTAGGTCTAGCTGGTTTATAGTCCTCTTCAAGTACTGTTTGATCTTCTGTTTTGGTGCTCCGTCCATTCATTATTAACAGTGGGGTATTAAAATTTCCAACTATTTTTTGTTGAACTATTTCAATTCTGGCAGTTTTTGCTTCATATAGTTGGGGGCTCTTTTGTTTGGTGCATGTATGTTTATAGTTGTTATATCTTCTTGGTGAATTGACTCTTTTATCATTATATAATGTCCTTCCTTTTCTCTTACATATATAACAATTTTTGTCTTAAAGTCTATTTGGCCTGAGATTAGTACATCCACCCTGCTCTCTTTTGGTTTTTGTTTTCATGGAATATCTTTTTCCATCCTTTTAACTTATTTGTGTCTAAACACATACTTGGATCACGGTGTAAGAATGTAGGCCATACCAACTCCACCTTTATCAAATAAAGCTGGGTCCCTCCAGCTCTATTTGCCTTTTCTATGACATCACTCCTCTGTCCCTTCTCCCCCACCCCCAGCTTTTTACTGGAAAGTTAACCATTAATCTGAAGCAAGGCAAGCGTGGTTAAGACAATGACTGAAAAGCTAGGCTAACAAGATAAAGACAAATGCTTTCCTGTTGATGCTGTGGTACCTTTAAGCTAAATACTCAGTAATCATAAGACATCAGGAAGTCAGCCTCATCAACCAGCTTTATGTAGACTTCCCCTATCTCTGTTTTTATCCCATATACCTTTATAAACTGCTGCTTTTCTCCTAAGTGGAGCAGACTGCAGCTGCACAAGTGTATGGATTGCCCTTCACTGGATCCTTCCTGTATGTAAGTTACACATTAATAAATTATTTGTTAACTGGGATGGTGCTGCCTGTTTTGTTTTTCAGACTCAGAGTTCCTTCTCAGTTTGGAGACTATTTCACCTTGTCTCCATCCTTGAACACGTGGTGTGTGAAATCAATGCAGTTTGGTAAGCAAATCAAAGCTCCAGGTCACTATTGTATGCTTCTCAGTCCAGAAATAGGCAAAAATGACCTGCACTGACAGAGTCAGGGAGTTATCCCTGGGAGGAGGAATCAGTGAAGAGGACAAGAGGGTTTCAGGGGCCTGTCGTCATTTGTTTCTCATCTAGGTGATGATCTCACAGTGTGTTCAGTTTGTAAAACTCTGGTCTGCCAGTAAACACTTTGTTTGCACTCATGTATGTGTTCTATACTTCACAAAACTTTAAGGAAAGCAAATTTTGATTTCTCACTTGATTGTGAAATGAAAAAAAGGGATCCTGATGCAATAGGGTGGAATTATCGATTCCTATTGTTCTCTCCCCTCAGACGGCCCATGTCACAGGCCTCCTGTTTGGACACAGAGAAGCCTTGCTTCTTCCTGTTCTTCTAGAAGGAGGAACAGGAAGGGGCAGACCCCTTCCCCCAGGTACTGGGCTCAAGAAGGTTGTGTCTTGGATGAAGAGGTGAACTCAAAAGAGCCAGCATACTTGCCCACAAGAAACTTCAATAAACTTCACAGCTGGAAAAGGCTGACACACAGCTGAAAGGTGAGTGCATGTAGAAGCAAATCTCATGTGGGACACCTGTTCTCCTGGGAGGCTCTGTGGGCAGGTAGCCCAGCACCTCAACAGCGCTGGCAGACAGATACCCCATTAAGGTGTGCTGAGGATAACACCCCCCCAAAGCACCCAGAGGTTGGTGCTCACAGAGCTTCAGGGCTACTAGTTACACAGCTATGTTTACTGTGTACAAGTTTGACCTGTATAGTAGGATGTGTGCACTTTCCTGGATGCAAATTATGGCTTTGATAAGAAGTTGACTTAAAATTATACTCCCCACAGGACAAAGGCCCAGCTCCATGGCCTGGCATCTGAGGCCTTGGTGATGATAAGACAATAAGAACCATATAAGCTACAATCATCCATTGAAAACCTGCTGCATGCTGGATACCAAGGACTTGATGAAGCTTTACAACCACCTCTGAGAGGAACTGTTGTCCCCAACTTATATATGGGGAGATTGAGATTCAGAGAGGCTAAGTCAGCCAAGATCAGCCAGCTACCATGATGATGATTCAATAATCTGCCCAGCTCCCAAGCCTGTGCTGTTATTTCCAGCTCTAGTAACCTGCCAGGGGTTAGGGGTGAAACCACTGCAGGGAAATGGAAGACAGGAAGCAAATGGAGACCACTCCTTACCAGAAAGGAAGGCTGAGGGGCCGGCCCGGTGGCGCACTGCTACAGTGCGCCGCTTCGGAGTGTGGCGGCGCTCCCGCCGAGGGTTCGGATCCCACATACAGACCGGTTCCCGCTCACTGGCTGAGCGAGGGGCGGACGCAACACCGAGGGTTGTGATCCCGTTGCCAGTCCCGGTCTGGTACGGGCGCGACACTGAGGGTTGCGATCCGTTGCCGGACACGAAAAAAGACAAAAAAAAAAAAAAAAAAAAGAAAGAAAGAAAGAAAGAAAGGAAGGCTGAACAGGTGGCCTTTCAGCATGGACTGAAGGTTGTCACTCCACCCCAGAAACTGAAGAACATGGTTGAGGACCCAGAACATGAGGGTGGGGCAGGACAGACTCAAAGTCTGGATGCTTGCGGAAATCACACACACCACCAGGCAGAAGTGAGCCAGTTCACAATAGGCCACGCACACAGGCAGAAGCAGAGGGCACAGGCAGTGTCCCCCTGGAAAGGGGCGTGCCCCTCAGAGCCTGCTACCTTACATCCCCTTCCTTGTCGGAAGTCTCCTGGCAGATCAGGTGAGGGCTCCCTTTTCGACTTTCTCCAGGGACTTGTTGGGACAACGGGTTTTTTTATTCAATGGTTCAAACTGAAAACAGATCATGACAGCCACTACTAAAGAGGGATATGATTGTCAGAGGAAGCTCTGCAGTGACAGTGAGGCTGGGAGAGGTGGCACAGTAGTGAGAACCCGGTCTGAGATGGCCTTCCAGAAGGAAGCCTTAGATGGGTGACAGGCTGTCAGAAGAGGTGGCAGGAATGTACCCCAGTACTTCCTGTCTCCTTGGCTAGGATTCTGTCCCCTTTTTTCATACCCACAAGCAATCATTCAAATGTGCTGTGCATCTTTACACATATTCTTACAGAAAAGAATGGTTTTGTGTTGACAAACAGGTAGCCCTTGCTGCCTGAATCTATTCTTTCCTGGGACAACAAAGAATTTGGACAACAAAGGATTCTGTGTTATCCAAATCTCTGCTTCCTAGTCAGGCTAGTGAGCCACTTGTGGTTTTAGTCTGCAGAAACAAAACGTGTTCTTATACCACACTGCTGAGCACTCACACCTGATGCTGTGTGAGACCTTGGGGGTGCACCCCTTGCCTCCAAGGATGGACCCTGGCTTACCTAATAGGTTTGCTTTGTTGCTGCTGCTGTTTGAGGCACTGGAATTTACTGGAACCATAGTTGTCTGGAGAAGAGGGTCAAAGCAACCACAAAGAACAAGCCATGTGCTTTGTCTTTTTATTATTCTTTATTTATTGGTCCTACCAACATGACTCTTTACCCAGGCCCACTGCTCCTATGCACTCTGGCTTTGTAGACATTCAGGTCACACGTCTATTTCCCGAGAGTCTCAACTTCTTCTTCCTATTCCTTTCCATGCTTTGCCTCACTTTCTCAGAAACTGAAGGCATTTGCTTATTACTATTTGCTTATTTGGGTCTGTGTAAAGGTTCCTTGGCAGGAGAACATGCATATGACTTTAAAATAAAGACCAACATTCTGACACTAAGGTAATGCACAGAAAAAAATACAGTACTCAGACATCATTGCAAATAAATACCCCATACAGATGAAGTTATCTCAAATGTAATAATATTTTTTATGAATCAACACTGTAACAGAAGGTAAAAATAGGAGTCCCTACAACTAGGAATAAGAAATGCTTATTCCAGGAAACAGAATTCTTTTATTCTTGCCATTTGTATTATTATAATTTGGGTATTTTTTTGGAAGAAGACAGTTTTTCTTCTTCTCTGAGTACCAATTGGATCACTCCCACGAACCTCACTCAGCAAACAGAGCAGGATGCACACACCTGGTTTGCTAAGGAGCTTTAATGAGTTCTGTTTCCTGAAATTAACAGTGATTAGTTACACCAAGCAAGAGAAGATATAATGTTTTATTTTCACATTTGCAAAGAATACCATGGCTAACCCTTGTCCCACTGCGTGCTGACGAAGTGTCGGCTCTCCTGATGCCCTTGGCTCTTCACAAACGTGGTGTTCACACAACTTGCTTAGCTTGTCCCATAAAGTCCATTTGGTTCCCAAAACACAGTCAAGGTTTTGCATTTGCTTTCATTTTCTAAGCCCCTGAATTTGCAAGTAAAGAATCACTGACTAACAGAATTTTGCACAATTACTGTTTTATCTCCCTCAATGAAGATGCCCAGGCACAGGTGTGAGGCGAGCACCTGCTCCCACCTGCTGGTCCACACTGGCCTTCAGCATTCCCAACTGCCCGTTTTAGAGAATTAACTACGCTGGGACACCTCCCTTAACTGATGAAGGCACTACTGGCAATGATTACTAACAAAATGGCGCTGAAATAGAACACCCTAAAAATCGACAACTGTAGAATTTTCTAAGTGTACCATAATTTGGCACAACAACCAGAGTAACAAAACAATTCCAATTTGGAATTTCACTGGTACAGTTGTATAAAATTCTGTTAATCAGTCATGCTTCACAATGTCCTAAAACCCAGAAAATTCTGGAATCTGTAGGTAATACTACTCATTCAATAATTTATCTTTTTTTTTTCAAGTGCCTATTACTGTTTTAACCAGAGCAAAGGTCAAGTTTTCTTCTTGTTACATTGAACTATTCCTAAGAATAATAATAATACAATATGAAAAACCCCAGAATTGGAATACCCTGGATTTCTTAATGAACATGGCATTTAAAATCTGTAATTTCAAACATGAACCATAATGCTGTATAATCTAAAAGGCTGCTGAACCACAGCGTGGCTACCTCTAGCCAGCTCCTTGTTGGGAAAGCCCTCCTCCCCACCGTCTAGAGCTACACACTGGGAGTACACGGCTCTGCCTCATGCTGACGCCAGGTCAACAAGGTGGGAGCTAAGACAGAGAGCTACAGGACCACGAGCACAAACCACGGCATCTGAGACCGTCTCTCTATGTCGGAATTAGGGAAGCAAATATAATATCAAAGTATCAAAAGTGCACAGGTTGATCGGATAAAAAAGGAACAAGGAGACCCCTGTGGTAGGCATCTCCAGCAGGCTCCTAGCGAGCCTGGTGGTGGCTGTGGAAGCAGGTTCTTCAGCCCATACAGAGGCCTTTCCAAGCAGCAGCTCGCAGCATTCTCAACATTAAAGCTTTTCTCTCCCATTGAAAACTTGGGGAATGCTATTTTGCAAAGAATTGCAGTGGCATATCCAAAAATGTTTCTAAGTGGAATTTTAGGTTGCCCTTCCTTCCTCCGTGTGGGCAGGGAAGGGGAAGGGAGGGGCTGCAGTGTGACAGTGCTGGGGGGTCGAGTCCTCCCTGCAGCTACTCTACAGCTGAAAACAGGAGAAAACAAGACAGCATTAGAAACTGGTCACCTGTTGCTTCCTGTTCATCTGACAACTAAAGCTCCCCATGTGCCAGGAGGGCGCGAGCACGTTAGTTGCAGAAGAGGAGACCTGTGTGTTAGGGGGCTGATGGCTCTGAATCTGCAAAGCCCCTTATGAGTTCAGAGAGAAGCTGCATGCCAGGCTTGGTGAGGAGAGGGCAAAGCGGGTGTGGGGCTGGCACACAGCAGCCATCCCACCAAGTCTTGCTGGGGGGTTGGGGGTGAGGGACATAGATCTGAGCCCAGGGGTCACAGGTGGGCCTGTCCTGGAGCATGGAAGAGACCAAGACACATTATGCACCAAAGGGAAGAGCGGGTGGGGACAGACAGCTGTGTGACGGGCAACAGGGTCTCCCGTCAGTTACACTAATCCCTTTCTTCATATACAGACCCGGCAAGCAGCCTACAGGGGAGAACACTGCAACCTCCGGGCTAGCCAGCCCACAGTGATGGAGGTAAAATACTGAGAAACGTTCTGCTTCAGAACCTGTGAAGTTGGATGGCCTGATGCCACAACTCTGGCATGGATGGAGCCTCTGGAAACAGGAGGGCCCAACAGCTATCTTTCCTCTTCCTGTCATGACCCCACAAATTGCACTAAATAGAGAGAACTCCACACCTCCTGCCTGTGAATCCTGGGACTGGTCCTGGCCCATGTGAAAGCTTTCCCAGCACCAGGACGGGCCCTGGCTATCACTGTGGCTGTCCTTCAAGTCAGCCAAGCCTGCTGGTGGCTCGGATTTCAGGTTGGTGTTCTCAAAGCCCTGCTTCTTCAGGTCTCAAGCCCCCGAGATGAAGGCTTGATAATGGGCAGCCAGGATTACCCAAATACAAAAAAAGGACAGGCTTCGCAGTCCGGCCAGGCACTTGGAAAGCTTTTCTTACTTAAAAAACAAAACCCGGGCTCAGGCCCTGTCAATTTGTCACCTCACAGGCCACAAGACAATCATGGAGATCTCGGAAATAAGAAACTGAGGCTGCCACACGCTGATCTCCTGGGTTTTGGTCAGCTACAGCTGCGCCGTGCATGTCTAGCTGGCAGAACGCAGGAGCTCAGGGCTGCTCTTCTCTGGGTTTGGGGGAAGAAATTCTGCACTTTTGTCCCGAATGTGACTTGCAGTGAGACGCTGCACAAGCTACAATGTAATTTTTTCCATAAAACTATGCCAAGTGCAGAGCCATCCTCTAACCTCCTAAAACTGCTTTCTGGTACTGACATTAGATACATGCGAGGAACATGCAAGTTTCAACCCAGTTCTGCCCTTGCAGTGCCGAGGGATCAGGACCAGGACTCCTTCCCTGGGGTTTTCCCAATGGCGCCCGGGGCCCCTGGAAGACACTTTACCACATCTGTCTTCCATAAGGGTGCGGCCCCATTCCTCCTGCTGACCTCCGCCAAGAGAGCAGCTGAGGACAGGGTGCTCCCAAGGGGAGCTGCAAAAAGTGAGAAGCAACACAAAGCTCAGGAGTGTCCAGGTGACCGCACGCGCCCCACACTACCTTGGCCCAAATCCTGCCCTTTGTGCGTTAGTCACGTTAAGACTGACCTAGCACCGCAATCCCACTGCTGCCTCTGTGTTAGTTGAGGTGAAGCAGATGTTAGTGCAGCGTGCAGCACCCCGCAGCCCTAATCGCAGTAAATGCTGTGCTTCTCACTGCAGAACACCTGGTTGGTGAGCCCGGTGCCCTCGGCCCTGTCGCTGGCACAGGCGCACGTGTGACTTACAGTCGGGGTGGCCGGCTTGGCCTTGGCAGTAGCCTTGGCGCGGCCCCGCCGGGTCTGCTCATGGTCCAGCTCGAGCAGCTCCAGCCGCTGGGTCAGTGCCAGCTTCTGCTGGATGGCCATGCGCAGCAGTGAGTTCAGTGTCTTCTTCTCATCCTCAGCGGCTGCCAGCTGCCGCTGCATCTCGTCCAGCTGCGTGATGTACTCGTCACACCTATGGGGAAAAAGAGTGTGGCTGAAGGGCCAAGTGGGGCTGCCTTCCATGTGGTCCCTGACATTGGGGCCGGGGCTGGAGAGGCTTGTTCTGGTTTCTTTTACAAAAGCTTCGTTTGGACAATGCCCCTGATGAGGGTCAGTGGGATGCTCAAGGCCCTGGATAGCACAGCCCTGTAAGGCTGGTTTGAGTTCTGTGTTGTTGATTTGGGGATGTGAGCTGCTTTGTTCATTTGGCTGGAGGTGGTTCCTCTAAAGACGCTAAGCTTTCAGTGACTTGCCCTTCTGTAAAAGGGGCTATTCCCACATTCCTCAAGGTGGCCCGGGGCACTGAGACATCATGGCTCCCAGGGTGTGGATGTGAACCCAAGCAGGACTAGGCCTGTTCCTGCTGCAAGCACAGTTGGTGCTTAGTCAGTGGGTGCTGAGTGACCAACCAGAGCAGGGAAAGATGTGTGTGGACACTGTAAACAGCCCAACCCAGCACCTGGGCCTCACTTAACTAGGACTCATGAGCCCCACCTGTGTGCAGAGCTGGGGGAAGGTCTCTGCGGGGCCTGGCACAGGGCTCCAGGGAAGTGGGGGGCATGCCAGGTACTGAGCACAGCCCTGCTTTGCCCACATCCACCCACCAGGAGCTGGCCCCTTGACAGTGCCCTCTCTAGAGACTGCCTTCCACGGGGACATTCACTGAGCTGTCACTCTCACAGGTTTGAGATCTTAGCTCCATCTGAAAAGTCAGGTCTTTAAATAAAACAAGTTTAAAAAGCTAGGGATTACATGCCAGATGCTGAGGAACTGTGGAATCTTTTCCAAACCACTTTCTGAAGTCCCAGGAAGGGTGCAAGCTACTAGAGAAACCCTGGAACTCTTCCTTGTCTCCACAGGGAGACTGAGAAACCAGGAGTGGCCAGAAGAGAAGCAGGCCCTGCACTCAACTTCCGAGATGTCTACTCGGAGACTCAGCTTCTTCACCCAAGAAAAGAAACCATCCAACTTATCTGATCGGCCCGTGGAGGGCCTAGCCTTTCCATGCAGGAGCTGTCACCACACCAGCCAGTAGATGGTGCCACCCATCTTTGGAGAGTGAAAGGCAGTGGCGCCTGTGGGGGGCACCTGCGGATACCCCAGAACATGGATCTGTCCCGTGGAGACCTCTAAACAACTAGGAAGCCTCACTTCCCAGTCTCGGTCTGAACTTCCCCAGCTTGGGAGGGATGTGCACAAGTGGGGGCTGTCCCCATCCACCCCTCGGCCAACCACTAAGAGCCCCTTGCTGGGGACAAAAGTAAGCTGCTCCCCTCTAGCACCGAGGCCTCCTCTCCCTCCCCTGACCAGCAGGACAGAAGGCTAATCCCAGGTGGTCACAATGACATGGGGATGCAGAGCTGTGCAAAGGCTAGACTCCTGACAGGGGACCCCGACCATGACCTACTCCAGACAGGAGGGAAACCTTCCTTCTGAATCTACAAACTTAAACTCAAGCTCGTTCCTTACGGCCAACTCTTTGGGGGCAAACTCCTTCTGAGATAAAAGGTCAGGGCTCATTTGCCACCTCTCTGCCCGAAGTCAGCCCTTATAACTGCTGGATCCAAGGGCCCCCCAGCAGGGTCAGGCTCCCCTGCCACCCCCGAGCTCCACGCCTCTAATCCGTCCACTCTGGACTCCACTCTTCTCAGCCCTTCTGCTTCTCAGCCTCCTTATGTACAGAGGAGAGATAAAACGGCCTGACAGGTGTTCATTAACAGCAAAATGGAGATGGCCCCACAAAACTAGGCTCCTGGGGCCAAGCTGGGCAGTGACAGGAATAGGAAAAAGGATCACACACCCTTTGCCACCACTGGCGGCACACGGGTGCCTGCTAGGCATGTCCCACACTCAGGCACCTGCTTGCACGAGCACAGAGGAAGCTGAGGTGCAGCCAGCTGGGGATCCCTGACACCATGCAGTCCCCACATCTCTTCACCCTCCCTTGACACCAATTCGAGCACCCATGTGCCAAGGAGGAGCTGAGGCTGCACTTCCCAAACCTCATGCTGTATCAGTCCTGACGCTGCTAGACACAGGCGCTGAACTGGCAGGTGTGCAGTCGTTAGAGGCAGGCAGCACGGGGCTGCATGCGCCATGCAGAGGGGGAAGGGCCTGGTGCAGTTACCTCGTGGCGAACATGGCACGCAGCGAGGAGAAAGTGGCTGCGTCCTCCTTGAGCGCCTTGAGCTCGTTGCGCAGCTTCATCATCGTCTCGGTCACCATGGCCTTCTCGTTCTCATACTTGCTCTTCAGGTTGGCGAGGGCCACCTCGGCTGTCTGGGGGACAGACATGTGCAGCGTGGGTGAGTGAAGGGTAGAAGCCAGCCTAGGGATGATCTGAGTTCATGGTGGGAACCCTGAGGCTGAGGAGGTGCTGACACCCACAAAGAAAGCTCTCTGGGAGGGGTTCCCCCTCTGACACAGCCCTGGAAACACTCTGGCAACTGTGCCGTGAGGATCAGCCTGCCTCAGAGTCCCACCTGCTGATCTGACTGGTAGAGAAGGACCACACGCCAAACCTGTCCCTGGGACCTCACAAAGCCTCACATCTCTCTCTCCACGACATTCAGGCCGTGGCTGTCACAGGTTCTTTACACAACTGTGTAGCAGCAACACTTGTTGGATGAGCTGTTCTGGTTAAAAGGGCCCTTGAACCCACCAGTCCGCTCCATCCTCCTGCCTGGGGGCCCTGGCCAGAGGGGAGGGCAGATGCCTGAGATGACCTGGGACCAGCTCTACCTTGTAGGTGACATAGGCCAGGCCCCTGTGGTGGGTGGCGACAACGGGGGAGAAACACCCAGCCGCCAGGCTCTAGGTGACAGTGCCCCTCCCCAGCCACCTTGCCACCTCACCTGCTTGTTGGCCTTGAGTACAGTGCGCAGCGTGGTGATCTGTTCCCGCTTGGTGCTGAGCAGCGACTTTAGCTTAAGGATCTCCTCCATGAGCGCCTCCTTGTCCTTGTCCACAGCAGGGCCCAGCTCCTGCGAGGCAATGCGCTGCCGCGACAGCTCTGTGGTGCGGTCCACAGCCACCTGCAGGTGCTTGATCTGGTCGCGGATGATGGCGATCAGGTTGTAGATATTCATGGGCTCCCGACGCGGGTCACTCAGGGGCGATGGCAGTGAGGAGCTAGGCGAGGGGCTACTGTCCCCAGCACCACCGTCTGCTCGGCCTGCCTCTGTGGACAACAGCCCCTTGGGCAGGAGGACGGGCGAGCGGCGCCCCCGGCTCTCAGGGCTGGTGCGGCCCCCTGGGCTGGTGCGGCCGGCTCTGCCCTGGCCCTCACGGTAGTAGTCCAGCATGACACGGTTGGGCGTCTCATTGTTGCACATGCACACGTGGTGGTAAAGGTTGGCCAGCTCCTCGCTGAAGGTCACCAGCTCATCCTGGGCCACACTCAGGCTGCCTTGTGTCTCACCAGCAACGTCGCTCACCTTCTTCAGCTCCTTCTCCAGCCGGGCCAGCAGCTCACGGTCTTGGCGGCTGGCATTCTCTAGCAGGGAGACCTTCTCGGTGAGCACCTGGCCCTCGGCCTCGTAGCGGCCCTTCTCCTCGGCGTGCTGAGCTTCACGGGCCTCGTGCGTGCTGCGCAGTGCCTTGAGCTGCTCCCGGAGCTCACCAGCCTCGGCCACAGCCACATGGTACTTGCAGGCCAAGATCTCGGGCCCATTGATGTCCACCTCATAGTAGTCACCATCTTCATGGCTGTCACGGTCCTTCTCGTTGTCCAGGGCTGTCTGCCGCTCCTTGCCGGCCTGCAGGCGCCGCAGGGCACTCAGGTTCTCCGTGAGGCGGCTCACCTTCTCGTGCTGCTCTGACAGGGTCCCTTTCGCGTGCTCCAGCTGCTTCTGTGTGTCCTGCAGTGTTGCTAACAGGCCCACCTTCTCCCGCTCCATCTGCAGAGGCAAGGGCAGCAGGAAAGCGTGTCAGCAGCCTATGCGCCCCACAGGCTTGGAAGACCCCTGAGGACAGCCCAGTGACATCCCATTCTGTGCCAGGAAGGCCATGGGCCCTGCAGGTTCCCTGACCATGCTGTCAGTGAGGCAGGGGCAGTAACATTTGGGGTACAGATTGGATGGAATCCATACTGGAACCTCAGATGCTGCCTGTCACCAGTAACGGTGCTCACTGCGAGGCTGCTCTCCCCTCACCCCTGCTAGAGGGGAGCTCGGCTCAGAAAGCAGAGCTCAGGATGGAGGGGTGGTGGGGAACCCTCACTGCCCAGCTCTCTGCTCTGGAGGGTGGGGCCCTGCTGCCTTCTTTCTCCAAGGCCTTTGAAGGCATGCAATCACTTGCTGGTTCACTAGTGACCCATCTCCAGGAGATGAGTCTACACATGACGCTGACTGGTCACTTGTCTCCTTGTCTGGGTGGGATTAATGTCTTGTCACCTCACCCGTGATATGTGTAACAGGGGAGCACTGGGCCGAGGTGCTAAACTTCATGCAATCCTCAGGGACCTCCCTCTCTGAACTCCTCTCTCTGTACTACTGGAGCTTCACTTATGGTAACAACACAGGATTTACTTATTTTTTGGCAGCTGGCCAGTACAGGGATTCTAACCTGTGACCCTGATGTGACCAGCACCAGATTCTCCCAAATAAGCTAGCCAGTTAGCCCCAACACAGGATTTAAAATTAATGTAAGAAAGTAAATTACGTCAACACAGCATCAGTGTCAGGCAAGCACTGCTCAGGGGACAGTGCCCCGAGGGCCCCGCACCTGCTCACCTGCATCAGCTGCTGCTTCAGCTTCTGGATCTCGGAGATGTTGAGCTCGCTGAGCAGGTCAGAGACGAGGCTGGGGGAGGGTGGTGTGAGGCCGTCCTTCTGGGGTGTGGAGGTCTTGTTGTCCAGCGGCAGCTTGGCGAGGCTGCCGTGCTCAAAGCCGTTGACCAGGGCCTCGGTGTCATTGTTGGGCTCGGCGGCATCATCGCTAAACTTGAGGCCATCCAGGGAGACGTGCAGGTGGCTGGTGTAGAAGGAGTCGTTGATGCTCATGTATTGCGACAGCTCCTTGCGCAGGCTGTTCTTCTGCTCCCTCTCCGTCTTCAGCGTCTCCAGTGCCTCTTCCAGCTGCCGCTCCGAGATCTCCTTGAGCCGTATGGCATCCTCCAGCTGGCTGTTGAGGTACTCAGTCTCCTCCTCCAGACGCTTGATCTCATGCTTGAGACCCTCAAATTCCACCTGGGAAAGAGAAGCCAAATGCTCCCACGTCAAGGCCACGCGGAGGCTCCTTTTAGGCCTGATAAATCAGGGAAACACACCTGCGGCCAACTCCCCCACCACAGAGGTGAAGCACTGTCCTGTGGAAGGGGCTGCAGCCCATCTGGACCAAGGCTGCTTCCCCATTGAGGGATGCAGGTGCTAAGAGGGCTCCGTGGCATGAGATGTAAACACACAGAAGGTTTAGCTCCTTGCTGGACAAGTGTGCGCCTGAGGGGCGGCCAGCATCAACTCTGAAAGGCTGAGCCATGACACCGTGGCCAAGCCAGATGCTCTATGTGGAAATCCACTGAGAACAACACACATCTATGCCAAACTTCTATTCCTGGTCACTTAAAAATATTACCACATACATGCTGACTTAAAATCCTCCAAGACTGCCTAATTAACATTAATAGTCACCTAAATATATTAAGGTACATGACATACGTATTTCAATGTGTGCTATGACCATTACTTCTAATCATCTTTCAAAACGAAGGAATGAACTGAAATACCCCCAAGGCAGAACGTCTCAGCACACACGTGACACCCAGACCTGGAGGAGTTCAAAGGTAGGTGGGAAAAGCAAAATCAAAGTCTCATCTACGTGAAAGTATATGACAAGGACAAGGAAAAAAACAGATGGAAACCAACGCTTGATGTGGGGGGTCAGGGTTCATGAGCAAGTTTTGAAAACATTCCTTATCATTCTATAATATTTGTACAAAAAATCAGAAACAAACCAATAAAACGAAGAGCTGAGCAGAGCTCTGTGGGTCTTGGGCAGGAAGGGACAGCTGGTATGGTGAGCATGGAGTGCCCAGTGTCAGCGCCACAAACTGAGAGGCAAGGAATCCCAGAGAGGGAGGGACGGTGGGCCAGATTCCACCGAGCTTCAGTCTCCCCTCTCCTCAGGTAACTGTGGGCCATGCTCTGCCAGCAGTCACGCCAATGACCACATGGCACTTCACATGAAGACAACTGCTATGACTGTTAATAAGCATGAGCTGTCACAGCAGGACCGGGGCTGTGAGCTCTGTTCCTGCAGTTTTCTGGGAGCAGAATCCACTCTGCTTGTTTTTGTAAACACAGATTTCAGAGTAAACACATGCACTTCCTCACCCAGTATAGAAATGCCAGGTCCCCTGATGGTGAGACTTTTCTGCTCTGAGAGGATTTGGGTGGTACAGAGTCTCTGAGGAAAGCAAAAATGACATCCACTGCATTTTGGGGGAAGTTTTGGGGTCTCCTGAGAGAAAAGGTTCGCTATTCCCCACTCTGCAGGGCTCTGGCTCTTGAAGAGGTGGGAGCAAATTCAGGTCCTGAGTGGCCCCCAGAGCCTAGGATCACCTTATCCTATCACAAGACGGCAGGGATCCTCCTCATCCCCATTAGAGACCGAGACCATGCTGCCTGTCCCCATCAGAGACAAACCCCCTGCTCATCGCTGCCACCGAAAGCAGGGACCCTGCTCGTCCCTTTTATATGCAGAGGGGACTATGCTTGTTCCCATTACAGACAGAGCTGACGGTCCTCTGACCCATCACGGTCATCCCCGACATAGGTAAGGAGGACCCTCCGCATTCCTCTCAGAGAAAGACACCCTGTTGGTCCACATTAAAGAAAGAGAAGAGCCTTTTCCTCCCTGTCATGGGCAGAGACATGGGGATGTTTCAGGCCTCGTGGTCAGCACCTGAAAGAGAAGAGAAGCTAGAGGATCAGTCTCGGGTTTTTTGGTGTAACCTCTTCATCACCTCTTGGATTTTTTTCCCATTTTTGTTGGCTGGGACGCCTCAGCCTGGCCAATCATCAGCAAACACTGCAGCCAGAGGCCTAGTTTGGCGGCCCTGCCGGCCACACTCCCGCCTCCACGGTGTGAAGCTGGCCCCAGGCCTTGGAAGTGTGGAATGAGACAGGGAACACCTTCTGAACGGAAGAGAAAATAACGACAGGGAATGCCTTCTGACAGGAGAGAGAGGGGTGGGTGAAAAGGCAGCGCGGCCCACAGCTCACAGGAGGACCTACCCCCACCCCACAGCCCAGGACTACCTGGTTCTGCCTGAGCACAGACACTTGCTTCTGCAGGCTGATGTTCTCCTCCTCGAGCTCCGAGTAGTCCTGCAGTAGGCGGGCCTCCCGGAATTTGTACTCCTTGATGTCATCCCGCAGGCGGCCACGCTGGATCTCCACATTCTGGTTGATCTGCCAAGGGGAGAGAGAAAAGTGGATGTGAGTGGCCCCCGCAGCTGGCCCCAGCACACCTGCCTCTGAGGGTTCAGCTTGCCAGGCACACTGTGTGGCATGCCACACAGCCAGGATGCAGAAGCCCAAGCCTGTACGTGCCAGTTCGGCCACCTGGATGGGAGACGCAGCCTAGAGCAGCACAGTATGGAGGACAGCAAAGGGTCTGGAGTCAGATCCCCTCAACCTTTCTCAGCCATGGAACCCCTGGCAAGTGACTGAGCCTGCTCTGACCCTCACCTTCTTCATCTGTAAAATGGAGTTAAAAGTAATTCCTCCCTCCTACCCCGACGGTGGGCATCTAAATGGTACAGTGCTATGGCAAACAGTTTGCAGAGGCTCAAACAGCTAAACAGAGTATCTACCCCAGAGAAATGAACACATCCACGTGTTCACACAGAAACCTGTACACCATGTTCACAGCAGCAGTGTTCACAACAGCCAAAAGGTGCAAGCAGCCCAAGTGTCCATTGACTGGTGAATGGATAAACAAAATGTGGCCTAGCTATACAATGGAGTGTTACTCAGCCATAATAAGGAATGACATATTGACACATGCTACAACATGAATGAACCTTGAAAACACTGCTGAGTGAAAGAAGCCAGCCACAAGAGGTCATGCATTGTGTGATTCTATCTACATGAAATGTACAGAAGAGGCAAACTGAGACACAGAAAGTGGTTGCCAGGGGCTGGAGAGAGGAGATTGGGAGTGACTGGTAACAGGGTTTCTTTTTGGAGTAATGAAAAGTTCAAAAATTGACTGTGTACACACACAACTGATGGTACACAGACATGTGCGTCTACTGATAACCACTGAATTATATACACTTTAAGCAGGTGAGTTGCATGGGGTGTGAATGATCCCAATCCAAGTTGCCAGTGAGAAGTCAGAGGCATTATCATGAGGAGAGGCAAGTTCAGGGTTCAGGGGACACAACAGTTGAGAATGCTGCAAGTTCTCAGCCTGGGCTGCACACACCATATGACAGGGACAGGCCCTCAGCCTCAGCCCTAGAGACATTCAGGGTCAGATCACTCTTTGCGGTGGTGGTGTCCTGCACATCACGGGATGTTTAGCAGCTCTCCTTGACCTCTGCCCACCAGATGCAACCCACCCCCACTGTGACAACTAAAAATGTCTGCAGACATCTGCAATGTCCCCTGGGGCAAAATTGTCCCCTTTACAAACTCTCTATCCCCTCCTTGTACTCTGTTCCTTTCCTGTCTCCTGTTCCCACTGCCCAAGTGGCCTCCCCACATGTCTGCAAAGGTCTGGCTCCCCAGGCCCACACCGCCCCTGCTCCAAAGCCCTTTTGGACCCTTGGTCAGAAGCTCTGTTCACTCGCTGGGCCCCACAGCTCTGTCCTCCTGTCACACTGTCCTCTCAGTTTATGCTGGGGCTTCTCTTAATCCCATTCATGTGCTCATCTGAACGACACAGGCTTTACAGACAAGACTACAAGATTCCATGCAAGTACACACAAAATGGTCATGTTAGGTTGGTAAAATGAAATAGGACCTAGAAAAAAGGAAAGCAACAGAAAGGAGAAGAGGGCCATTGTATAGCAAGAACTACTGACAAATGCTTACTACTCATAGCAAAGATTGTATTTAAGTACACACAAAATGGTCATGTTAGGTTGGTAAAATGAAATAGGACCTAGAAAAAAGGAAAACAACAGAAAGGAGAAGAGGGCCATTGTATAGCAAGAACTACTGACAAATGCTTACTACTCATAGCAAAGATTGTATTTAAATCTGCAGCAAATGGACACAGACAACCTTTTATTAAGGGACCCAAGGCAGTGAAAGCTGACACCAGAACAAACAGAGACACTATGTGGGGAGGAAGAGGCGGCCACAGGCTGCCAAAGCCTTGCACTGGACAAACGAGCAACGTGCGTCCTGGCACGGAGGGAGAATAAACAGCACCAGCACAGCCACCACTGGGGCAAGGCCCCGCAGGTCCTGCAATGCCTGGGGTGCCGTGTAGGATGACTCACGCAGGGTCTCCACACCCCGGCTGGGGATGCGGGCACTCATCTGCCAGAAAGAACTCCCCAACTCATGCTTGTTCTTTGCTAACTCTCTAGAACCTGGCATACAGCAGGTGCTCAAACACGTGCCACATGAAATGGCTGCCCAGCTGGCTCCCTGGGTGAAGTGGAAGCTGAGGGAAGGGTCTCAGCCCCACCAGGTCTGCAAGTCAAGACCAGCAGACCAAGAAGGCCCTCCAGGCAGTGGGAAGAGAGGTGCCAGGAGCTTCCACAGAGACCTGCCCAACTGAAGACTGAGGCAGACAGCTGGGGCAGATGCCTGATAGCACCAAGGTCCCCTGCAGACACATGGACAGACTTGTGCTCCTGCAGCAGTGCCCGTGTCGTCTATGAGTCCTCAGGCCTTTTGCCAGCCTGGCCCTGGTAAGGGGCACTAGGAGGTCTGTCTTTGTACCATTGCCAGGTCCAAAACAGAGGCATACCCAGGTCACATGCTGGACCAGCAACAGCACATGGTGAGTAAGGACACTATCTCTGCTGATCCTGCAGGACCCAAACACTGGCAGCATCTTTCTGCCCACGGTGACTGTGCTTCCATCCCCCCGCACCACCAGGAGTGGCAGCAGGGCTTGGCCTGCTGCTCCGCACCTCCACCCAGCACACACCCAACTGCCGAAGGTTCAAACAGGCTCTGACTGGTCACCACAGGGTTCAGTTTTCTCCAGGTAAGCACCTTCTCCCAGGTGAGCCCCTCTGACGTCAGCCCAGCAGAGGGCGGGGGACAAGTTCTGCAGTGTGTGAATAGGCATCCCAGATGGCGGAGGTGGTTGTATGGGCTCAGAGCCAACCACCCGAGGTCACATCTCAGCTCCCCTTTCTCAGTATCCCAGACCTCAGGCTGTTCATCAGCAGGAAGACTGTGACAACTGTCTGCCTCAAGGAGCCAGTGTGCTGGGAAGGTCGGCTGCCCTGTCCCCCTTAGAGTCCCCAACCCCATCCATGCAGGACACTCTTGTTTCTGACGTCTAGGGCAGCCTCCACCCCACTCCTTCTTGGGACAAATACAAGAAAAGGCCTCGGTGCATGTACAAGACCAGCTCTGTCCCAGCCCACCTGAGAACCCCCCCGACCCCAAGAAAGAACATCAGAAGAACTAGAGGTGCCCGAGCCCATCCACATGCAGGTCCCACACATAGCAGAGGTCAGCAGCCAGGAGCCATTCCACCCCTCACCAGTGGGGTGACCTCAGGCCTTGACAGAACCCGTCAAACCTGTTTCCTCATGTGTGACAGGACACTGGTAGGGTCACCAAGTGGACCAGGTCTGAGGCAGTCAGAACTGTCTGACACGCACAAAGTATGTTTCTCATGGGTCCTCATGGTGCAATGGGGTGTGGAGGGGGACACACACCTAAACCAGTTGTCACAGACAAGGAAAATGGGGAGGAGCTGTCGGAGGCAAATGGGTGGTGGGTCAAAGGGTACAATGTGGCCTGGAACATCACCAAATTCAGACAGTCAGCAAGACTGGCAGGCAGGAGACACAGGCACCCTCTCTGACCTATGGGGTCACAAACCTTGGGCAGTGGGGGGTAACAGCCACGCCAGGGGCCACAGGGGAGCTTGGCACAGTGGCTCAGGCAAGGAAGCACCAGCCAGGAAAACAGTGGGTAATGAGGAGACAGGAGCAGAGTGTGACCTGGATGGGCAGCGGGTGAGACATGGACAGTCCCAGAGACATGGGCAGTGGAGCCTCCACCCCAGCCAGGTAGGCAGGAAGCAAAGACCCAGATGGCTCCTACAGCTCTGCAGCAACCTGGGGCCCTTCAGGAGCAAGAGAAGGGCTGAGGGGTGTGTAGGAAGAGCCAGGATTTCCTCCTAAAGCACAAACAGGAGTAGCAGGACAGCCTCCCCCAAAGACCTGCGGCATCTTTAACTGGCTGAACTCATTTCTGGCTCATCGCCAACCAGAAGCCAGAGGGGTCACCCAGACCTCTGCTTGGAAGAGACAAAGGGAGCAATGTGCCGGGCTGGAGAGAGCCTGCAGCAGCTTCTCAGGAAAAGATGGGCCAGACAGGCGGCTGAGGTCACATCTTCCCCCTTGGCAACAGCCCCTCATACCACCCTGCTGGAGTGACCTGTGGGAGGAAATGAAATCATGGGCTGCTGCTCCAGGATCTGAGGGCTGCCCACCCCAAGTCCAAGCCAACCTCCTCCCAGGCCCCGGAGACCGCTGAATCTCCCCAAACCAGCGGAGGCAAAAGCTCCCTGCTGTTGTCGGATCCTGGGGCGCTGCCCTCAATCCTGGATCACTGGGCCAACAGCTGCCACCCTGCGGGACCGTGACCATAGCACACCCTCTCAGCCTGTGCTCTGCTGAGCTCCTCTGAGAATATTCACTGCAGAGGGTGGGGCTCCTGAGGAAGAGGGGCCCACAGGTACTCGAAGAATGTGGGGTGAGAGAGCTGAAGGGCACCCTCTACGAGAGGCTTTGGAGACTGTTTACAGATAGGGAAACTGAAGCAGGGACTGAAGATGAAGCCTTGCCGAGGTCTCAAGGTTCAGTGAGGGAGGGGCAAAGCCAGCATCAGCCCATTCTCACCTGCCCCAAGCCTCATCCCCATCCCATCCCCACCCTTTCCGACGAGAACCTGGGGGCTGACCACCAAGGCCACAGCCAGGACTGCAGTTCATGTGGGTCCACCTGCTGTCCCCAGTGCCTATTGCACTCCTGTCTTGATGATGGGGCCCCATTTTTCCTCAGAGGGTACTGACCTCTCTTGCCCCCACCCCCACCCCCAAACTAAGCCTCTCCCTAGCTTCTGGCCCCACCTTTGTCCCCATGGCCCTCTCTCCATGAGGCCACCAAACCTGAGTTGGACCATGCCTCCTGTAGGACCCTGACTGAGGCCTGCAGGACTCTCCCTTGACACCCCTCCCTGCCCTTGATGCTGCCCTACCACGCACACACACTCAGTGATATATAGCACAGGGCGTGATTCTCTTCTCAGGGCTCGCCCAGACATCCTCCTCAAACACCTGCCTGCCCCTCACACCTGCCACATGCCCCCATCCAGGAGAATGAGGCTTTGCTCGCAGCTGTCCCCCAGGACCCGCACACACCAAGGTACCAGCAGTGCCCAGTTACACATGCCTAAGTCAGTGGAGGAAGGACACCCATGTGCCCACTCAACCTCCCCGTGGCCTCCTGCCCCGAGCCAGAGAGGCTCTCGTCCCCACCCACTGGAGGGGACCAACGCTCCAGGCTCTCCTCCTCCTGCTGGTTCAGCCTGCATAGGCTCCCTGCCCCACGATGACCCTCCTCAAATCCTGCTCTGGCCATGTCACTCCTCTGGACTCCCCAACTCTCTATGACTCCAGGGCCTGGGCTTCAGGTGGTGAGTGCTAGTCCTGTGGCCTTTGCCCCACAAGGAGCCGAAAACTGAGATGGCTCCTTCTGAAATTAAACTCACAAGCTCATGGGTAAACACTACAGTCCCATTTCCAGACATGGAGCCTATGCTCAGTCATGGCTGCCTAAGGGGACCCTGGACTCACACCAGCTCAGTGCAGAGCCCAGGACCACCAGCCCCTCCCTGACAGTGCCCCCTGAGCACATGAGGCTGTGGTGGCAAGTGGGATGAGTCATGGTGGCCCCACCCCCGAATTCTCAGATGCACACATTCCACTTTGAGTCGCTGCAGAATGCTCAGTTTGTTTTCTTATCCACAGTATGCAAGGCACAGGCCCTGAGTGAGACAGAATATTCCCTAGACATGGAGAAAAATCTAGTAAGAGGGAGTGTCCCCACATGCACTAGACCTGTGCCTCCAAGAGGGGCTGACCATACATCTTCATGAGTGATCACCTCCCTGCTCTGGGCTTGTTCAGGGGATTAGCTTCACCAGTGAGACAGAAGCAATCCTGACAAAGGGAGCTGCAGCATCTGCCTCTGTCCTTGTGCCACCACATGAGGTGCAGAGGATGTGATCAGTGGAACAGACAGGCCTAGGAGGAAGGCTTCCAGCTGAAGCCTCCCAGGGGCCAGCAGGCTGCCCCCCAGGCACAGGTGTGAGCACGTCTGCTGCACGACACCGCTGTTGCCACAGATAAGCCCCCCCTCACCTCCTTCAGCTCTTGGGCCACCGAGGTGAGGCGCTCATTCTCTGACTGTGTGTTGGTGAGGACGTTGCGCAGCTGCTTCAGCTCCGTCTGCAGCTCCAGCACCTTCCGCACATAGTACTGCTCCTTGGAGGCTGACTCCTGGATCAGACTCTCTTCCCGGCTCTCACCATCTGCGGCCACCTTCTTGTGGTTCGTGTGTGCCTGTCCGAAGGCCTACAATGGGAGACAAGACGCTCATGAGACGGGCATCCTGGGGCCAGCAAGGGATCAAGACCCAAGCCAACAATTGAGACTCACACTGCAGGAGTGCACAGCGACCAACAAGGCGAGGGTAGGGAGGAGGGAGGACTTTAATCTGGTCTGCCATGTGCACATATGTAATGTGCCTCAAGCAGCCTGCGAGGCTAGTGCCTTCACCGTAACAAAAACAAACCTGATTTCAGGAGCGACATGTGCAACAGCAGGATCAAGGGCCAGGGCGCCATGCATGCATGTGTGATGGAAGCACTCTTCCTGCGGGACAAAGCGCCAGGCCCTAGACCTGGGGGTCTGCAGTGCTAGGAGCCTGGCCAAGCTGATGGGAAATGAATCCAAGCGCTGCCCCCACAGGCTCCACTTCCTCCCCATTCCAGATAGGGAAATCAAGGCTCAGGGAGGTGTGCCGGCCATCACATGAAGAGGCAGAGAAAGCCTGCTCACCCTACTGCTTAGTGCCAACCCATCCTTCACCTGTTCTGGGAGAAACCCGGGGCAGGCAGTCAGAGCCCCAGGCCCCTGCACAACAGCAGTGATAAGAGCCAGCAGGAGAGGCCAGCATGCTGCCAGAAAGGGGTGTTGGCCTAGCCCAGGATGCCCAGGTCTGCCCATACACCCACAGGTCAGCAGCCGTGCCCATCCACGCCCAAACACCCAAGCCACCAGCTTTTCATCATGTGCACCCAGTGAGGGGCAGAACCCTCTTCCCTTCTCCTTCCCTCCCTCTGCCACCACCCCAAGTGGCCAGCACTGTGGGACAGGGCTCCCATGGGGTAGAGGGCGGGACAGGGTTCCCACATAGTAGAGGATGCCAGGCCTGCGATGTGTGTCACCCTAATGGCTCCCATCCTGCTGGCAGCCCCACCACAGAGCTCTTGGGGAGACCTTGTCTCTTTACAGGACTCCTGGCTCATGGCAGGAAACAAGATCAAGACAGGAGCTATTGAAGAGCAAGAAAATGGATGGCTTTTTTTTCTTAAGAGAGAAAAAGGAACATTTTCATTAATTTACTACTTAGTATTAAGTCTAGGAATTCAGTCCAAGAAAACTGGGATAATGTGCAAAGCCACATACATGGATGTTTCTGAGCAGGACAGTTTCTAATATTGACAAATCAAAACAAAGAAAGCAGCTCATTTCCCTCCTGACAGGGGACTGGAGAAATAAACCAGGGTCGTCTGGTCTGAGTAATGAGGTCCCATTGGGCCAAAAGATGACACACATGCTACAACACGTGCTGTGACACTTGCTCTGATGTGTGGTGACCTGTGCTGTGACACGCATGCTGCAATATACTTATGCTGTGACATGTGTTGATGTGTGCTGTGATGCACATGCGGTGTATGTGTCTCATGGTGTTGCAGGTAAGGTCTCTGAATGAGGCTCACAGGACAACACAGCACAGAAGAACGACCAGAGCTGGCACTGGGACCATGTGTGGGGACCCCAAACTCATGCCAACACTTTTGCTGCGGATGTGTGGATGTCTGTCACCCACCCTCCTTCCCCAGGGGTCTAGGTCTTGATTATCTGCCCCTAGCCCACCAACACAGTGCCCTCTCCATGGAAGATGCTGGTTTCTTTTTAAACCAAATGAGCTCAACTCTGTGATTTCTCTTCTGTTCTCCTCCATCCTGGTCCCAGGGAAAGACCAAATCACAAATCACTTCATGTACACAGCACCTGTCCCATCCTGGCTGGCCACCCCAGGCCACATGAAGGGAAGCCAGACACAGAGCCAGCCCCAACCTAGGGCCCCAAGTCTCTCATCAGATGAGGTGGCCTGCAAGCTGCAAGCCAGCAGGGCAATGCCAGACCAGCCAGGCCTCTTTGATGCACAGGTGGGATGTGAAAAAGGGGTCCCGTACATGCAGCTTCTCAGAATACTATGAACCTGGAGGGGGGACACAGACATCTCCTAAGAGGCTTTCTTGAGGAGCGACAGCTAAAGGCTGTGACACACCATTTGGGCCCAGGCCAGAGGCCTGGGCTCTGGATCCTTCTCACCTGAGCTCCCAGTGGGGGGCCCACAAGCACTCCTGGGTGACTTTTCAAACACACTGAGACAGAGACTTCCACCTCCAGCCAAGATGAAATAGTTACGGAGATCGACTCTACCTCCTGTGTGAAAAACTAAACAACAAAAGCAACAAATCATCTAGAAAAACGACAGAAATATGAACAAATAAACAGCGGTTTTCAAATCACTGGGCACCGGGTATAAGAGGGGATGAGGGAAGATACGCTCCACAATGCATGTCTCTCCCCCACCTCACCCCCACCCTGGTCCAGAAGAAACTTCCTGGCCATATCACAGAAAGGGGTACTGAGGCAGGCCTGATAGACCCTGGGGGAAGAGAAGGGGCTAGCAGACACAGCTGCAAAGGCAGGTAGGCCCGAAGACAGAGGAACCCACCAAGTCAGGGAAAGGACCACCCAGAGGGCTGGAGGGAACAATCCCTATCATTCACACAGGCCAAAAACAGCACCTGTTCCCAACAGGCAAAGGGCACCCTCGTGATTCACAGGCAGCAGGTGTAAGACTCCCCGGGACTAGCAAATTAGATTGGATTAAATGCTGCTCTGGTACAGCAGGCCAAAACTTAAAGACAAAACCTGAAAGGATCAATCCGTTTCCAAGTCACTTAACTACATCCCATAAGAAAGCTGGAGAACAAATGTAGGAATACAAAAACACCCATCTCCCAACAGGTGAGATGCACAGCCTGGCACCCAATCACTAATCACTGAGCATGCAAAGGACAAGGGGAGGATCTATGAGCGGGAGGACAGCATTCAGACCTGACACAGGTACACAGGGTTGTGGAATCGGGTATCAGGACTGAAGCCCACAAGTTTAGGAGTACAGGGAAGACTGAACATGCTAAGCAGAGACGTGGAAGATACAAAAAGATACAGAATGAATTTCTAGAGATGAAAAGTACACTGAATGGGATTAACAGCAGAAACATAATGCAGAAGAAAAGATGAGGGGCTGAGAGCCTCAGCCATGCCCCCCAACATCTGCATCCAGCCCAGCAATGACCACCAGGCTGCCGCAAACAACCCAAAACGAAACACACAGACAAAAAAGGCTAAAACAAAACCCCACCCCGAACACCCACAGTGAAGTGTGGGACAATTTCAAAATGCCTAATATGTGCATAACTAGAGGAAGAGGGAAGGATAGAAAAAATATTTGAACATGTAACAGCTGAAGATTTTCTAAAGTTGGAGAAAGCTATAAACTCACTAATACTAGCAGCTCATCAACCCCAAGCACAAGAAATATGAAGAAAACTACACCAAGGCATAACATAAAGTTGTTTAAAACCAGATTTTCTAAAGTTGGAGAAAGCTATAAACTCACTAATACTAGCAGCTCATCAACCCCAAGCCCAAGAAATATGAAGAAAACTACACCAAGGCATAACATAAAGTTGTTTAAAACCGATGATGCAGCAAAAATATTAAAATTAGCCAGAGGAAAAAGGATACATGATGTATGGAGGAACAAAGATAAGGATGACAGCAGATTTCTCTGACAAGCCAGAAGACAGTGAAGAAACATCTTTAAAAAATAGACAAACAAAATCTGTTAACTAGAACAGTGTACCCAGTGAAAATTGTTCACAGATAAAGGCGAAATAAAAACTCACACATACAAAAACTGAAAGGATTTATCTAGAGCAGACCTGCATTACAAGATAAGTTAAATAAAATCCTTTGGGCGAAGAAAAATGATACCAGTTGGAAATCTAGATCGACAAGGAAGAATGAAAAGCACCAGAAATGGCAACTATGTGGGTAAATATGAGACTTTAGAAAAAAATTATTTACATCTTTTTAAAAGATAATTGAGATTCTAATCCCTATCAAAATTCCAAAGGTCTTTTTTTGCAGAAATAAACCAATTTTCAAATTGATATGGAATTGTAGAGGGCCTAGAATAGCTGAAACAACACAGAAAAAGAATAAAGTTGGAGGACTCATTTTCCAATGTCAAAACAATACAAAGCTACAGTGATCAAAACAGTGTGGTACTGGCATAAGGACAGACATAGAAGACCAATAGAACAGAATAAAGTCCAGAGATAAATCCTCGTATAAGTGGTCAATTAAATTTTGACAAGAACACAAAAATAATTCAGTGGTAAAAGAATTATTTTTCAACAAATGATACTGGGATAAGTGGATGCAAAATAATAAAGTTGAACCCCTATCTCACACCTTATACAAAAATTGACTCAAAAATGGATCAAAGACCTAACTAAAAATTAGAAAACTCTCAGAAGAAAACAGAGATTAATATTCATGATCATGGATTTGGCAATGTATTCTCAATTAGGACACAAAAAGCACAAGCAACAACAAAAAATAGATAAATTGGAGTTCAACAAAATTAAAAACTTCATACATCAAAGGACATTATCAAGTAAAAAGACAACCTACACAATAGGGGAAAAGACTTTCAGATCTTATATGTGATAAGGGTCTAGTATCCATAATACAGAAAGAACTCTTACAATTCAACAATAAAAAGCCAAACAACCTAACTAAAAATGGACAAAAGGCTTGAATAGACATTTCTCCAAAGAAGATATACAAATGGCTAACAAACACAAGAAAAGATGCTAAACATCATTAGCCATTAAGGAAATGCAAATCAAAATCACAATGAGATAGCACCTCGCATCCATTAGGATGGCTATAATTAAAAAAAAAAAAGAAAGCAAACTAATCTATATCATGATCCCCTGGGGATGGGAGATGAGGAGGGATTACAAATAGGAATGAGGAAACATGTGAGGTGAGGGACATGTTCACTCTTTTCGTTATGCTGATGGTCTCATGAACATATACCTATATGAAAACATATTGAATACTTTAAATATATGTGGTTTACTATGTTTCAATTATACCTTTAAAAAGCTGCTTAAGAAAACAACTCAGATGTT